ATTAAAATTAGGACTAAATTGATAAAATATGTAAATAATGAGAATTAAAAGTGTAAATATTCAAATTTACTTAATTATTGCATCATCATTTTTGTCAAATATTAAGGGTTAGTAATTTTTTTTATTAATATGAGGTAAGTATAAGATAATATTTATTCAAGATACAAATTTTCAACTCTTTGACATTGAACACTCATATCCCTGGTGCTCAAATCCGAGACCTGAAAAAATAATAATAATTCTTTTACTATTAAGATCATTGGGGTTCGTGCTAAGGGTTAGTAACTTTAATGATAGCAATTTAATAGTTGAGTTAACTAATGGAAAAATAAATCAATGGTCAAAATAAAAGCAACCATATAGTTTAGTGGCTATCTGAGTACTTTACCCTTAAAATTATGTAAATATTCCTAATTTATTTCTTTTAATTTTTTTGATAAAATAAATCGGAGTCTTTCAAACTATGCTTAAATGATATTTCCAGTCACCTAACTTTCAAAAATTATAAAAGAATCATTTTATAATTTCGAAACAATTTGATCATAACAAAAATATCATTAAACATAGAGACTTGTGGTGGTGTACTTCATCCTTATTTCTTTTGAAATTTGTAATTCGTTTTTTTTCTAATTTTGTAATAAAGTATATTAGATGTTCTTAAGCTATGTTCAGAAGATATTTTTTATTATTAAAATTTTAAAATTTATAAAATTATCAATAAATTTATTGAACTATTTTAAAATGATCATTTTGACATTACAAAATAGTCACCTTGATGTTATGAATAATCATTAAATTTATTGAATTGTTATAAAATGACCATTATTTTTTTATCAAATGGCTACAATAATGATAAAAAAAATATCAAACTATTACAAAATTGCCATTATATTTATCAAACTCTATGACTATAAAAATGTCACAATGATCATTTTATAATAATATAATAAATTTAATAATTATTTTATAATCTTTGAAAGTTTAGTGAGTAAAAAATCATTTGAGCATAATTTAGGAACCTTTAGTGTACTTTATCCTTACTTTTTTTTTGGACTATGTAATTTCGTTTTTTAGTTTTCGTGCTACCAATGCAATGAGGCCGCGTGGTGGTAGGATGTGTCGGGGGCTTTTTGGACGATTAATCGTATCGTACACGCGGTTACAGCGGTGAGTTGAAATTCACACACACGTACAGAGCTTTAGTGGATATATTATCATCATCCAGATCTTCTATATTAAAATATAACCAGAATATAATTTATATTTGATTATATGTTATATCCATTCCATCTATAATTTGTAATCATTTTAAATATATATAAGAATATCAATTTGAAAAAAAAAGTTTCAACTAGGAAAAAAAATCTTTTATTTATCAAATTATTATATTAAAATCATAATAACATTTTATTTATCTTATTATTTTTTTTAATATTATAAATGTTCATTAAAAGATTTTTTTTCCTTTCATCCATGTACACTATATTTTCATTATGATTTTTTGTCAATATTTTAACTATAATTTTCATTATTCAATTTTGAAATCTGTCAATAATGTGACTAAAACATTTTTATTTAGAAATAAAATTTCATTTATACATCTTTTGAGTTTTTTTTCCTATATGAGTTTAATCTATATCTAACGCAGACCATATAAGCTTGTTCACCTTGAACTATAAACCCTAAATGCCCAACTTTTTTTTTGGGTAACAAAATACGAGCCTCGAGAATAGCCTAGTTACTAATTTCTACACCCTGGTTAAGATAGATGTCCTGTTGAATCAATGTTTGTAGTTCCGGCGATGGTCATTGAATTAGTTACAGTCCCACTGGTTGTTGGTCACCGGACTTGACAATGCAATCCGCGACATTGTTTGTTTCACGGGTGTATATACAGTTCGATGTCCCATCATGTCCTAGGATCCCTTGGATTCGGCGGCCTATTGTCAATCTCTGAGACTGTTTATGTGTTTTAAGGAGGTTCACTGCTGTCATGATGTCAGTTGCCACTGTTATCCTCCGATAACCCCTGTCCCATAGGAGGTGTAGACCATCTAGAATACCCTAGAGTTCTGCGTTAAGGCTCGAACAATAGCCTATTCTGCGTCTGTATCCGAAGATCCATTCTCCTTGTTCTCCTCGCCCGATACCCCTAAGGTTGCTATTGTGTTAGTGTTAACGGCGTCATCCGTATTAAGTTTCACCCTCCCTGCCGGAGGGGTGTCCAATATTTCCCTGGTCAGCTTGCTGGTTGGGGTGTTGCGTTTGTGTTTGTCAGGCTTTCTTTTACTTTGGCCCAGGAAATTATTGACTGCTCGAAGATCGATCCATTATCATCTCCAAGCACCATACTGTTACGTTGTTTCCATAGGCGCTAGATTAAAATTCTTGACAGGCGCTTCCAATCACATTCTGGACGTGAGATCCATAGAGTGTTTTGTAGATTTAACTTGAGCCAGTCTTCCGCCGATAATGAAAAGAAGGTTGTCTATGTTCTTGCTGGTACGATTTGCATCCATAATACTCGAGTATTCTGGCAGTCATGTAGAATATGGAGTATGTCTTCTGATGCGCTTCCACAGATTGAACAAGAAGCGTCGCTGGTCATGCCTGTACGTGCCCTTTCATAATTGGTAAGTAATCGAGCTCAGAGTGTTGGCCAGATAAACTGACGGATGCGTTGGGGGCCGTCAAATGTCCATGCTAAGGACCAAATCTTGTCTTTAGCTTCCCAATGCGATTGTTGCATCTGGTGGTACGAGGGTTTAACGGTACACTTGCCTTCGTCGTCTTCCTTGTAAATAGGTAAGTTTTCTTCAACTGTTACACTAGTATTGCCAGGGTGGGCGAGATATGAGTTTCATGCAGATGCTGTTGTAGAAAGCTAATGTTCCATTGACCTTGGTTATCAATTACGTCACACGTCTTCGTTGAGAGATTGAGATCGTCCTAGTATTTTGCGATGTGTAATAGTGGTCCTAGGTTGGGTATCTAGTTATCCGTCTAGAACTTCATGTGTTGACCGTAACGTTTTTTTTTAATTATTGGAAATTTACAATAATCACTTAATTATTTTTTCTTCAAAATTAAAACATTTTTCTTCAAAATTAACGTTACATAATGATAATTAAATTTACTTAACTATTTATAATAATCATTTAACTATTTTTATCAAACAGTTAATTATTTTAAATTATTATATATTAATAATAATCATTTAACTTTTTTTAAAATTATTTCTAACATTATATTTTAGTTTTATTTTAATCATCCATAATTATAAAATTAACATAATTATTAACGTAGTATTTTTATTTTTTGATAATGATGTGACATTATTTCAATGTTATTGTTAAATTTTTAACTATAAATGATCAAAACATAATAAAAATAATAGTCTAGATGTTAAACATGTAGTTTAGCCAATAATATTTTGTTCTTATTATTTTTCCCCAGTTCTTTCGCAAGTGAAATTTAGTTCCCGTGTAGGTTTATTGTGTGGTTGCTATCGTTGAAATGTGCTAGAAACGGCGCCATTCCTCGTCTCAGGAGGGCGGAGACTATTAACAGCGTCGATCTTTCAGCTTCCTAATCCAGCGGAAGAAGTTCACGTCCTCACCGTCGATGGTAGATGCGGAGACTTGTGGTGTTTATTTTTACAGAGGTAAAAGGTTTGCAGTCTGCGGATCACATCTGCAGGCATCTACAGCAGAAGAGGTAGACCAAAAGTCTGCAGTCTGCAAGAAGAAGACTGTTTGTTTTTTAACATATGCAGACTGTTAAAATAAACTGAAATATAAATAAACTGATTTTTTAAACTTAAAATAATTTTGCAATACTGAGATTTAAATAATTTTAGTTTTACAATTATGAAATTTAAATAATTCATACAAGTACAATAATAATTTTTTTAGAAAACAAACACCACCTTATTAATTTTATTACAAGTCTCACATAATCACATGAATTATTAGTTTTATAGAATAAAATTTATAAATGATCATTACATTGTATGATTTTTTTTAAATATGTAATTATGTAATACTTATAATTTTTTTAAATATATATTCATAATTTATTTTTATAATTATATGATATTTTTAAAAAATATTTTTTAATTTATCAAATTATTTTATGATGATTTTTTATTTAATTGTGATTATATTTTAAAATTTTAAAAACACAATTTATAATTTTTTTATATTTTAAAATCTTAATTATCAAATAATGAAATCATTTTTTTATTAAGCAATGTGGTTTAAATACTTACATTTTGTATAAAAAATTTAAATATAATTTAAAAATAACAAATCCAAAAAATATTATATTTAAACTTAAATCAAAATAATTAAAGTAAATATAAAATTTTAATAATATATAAAATAATTTATATGATATAAAATTAAATATCTATAATATAATATTAAAAATTAATATTTAAGTTATTTAAAAATTAATATTTAAATTAATATCTATAATATAATATTAAAAAAATAATATTTAATTTATTTAAAAAAATTAAAATTAAAATTAAAAATAATATAAAATTAAATTAAATATAAAACCTCTTTGAAGATATTAGAAGACGTCTGCAGATATAAGATCACGTCTGCACCGTACAAATCACGCACAGACGTTAGAATAATTTCTGTCTTCTAAAAAACAAACGGTTTGCGAAACTAAATGTCTACGCGTAGTCTGCGCGACGTAGACCTAAGAATTTTGTAGACTTTTCAGAGTAAAAACAAACACCATGTAGAGTTATATTCACGTGTTGAGATGATGGTTTTCAGTACACGTGGCGAAATCCCAAAACACTCATTTTTTTATAGCGGAAAGCTGATAAAATATTCCAGTTTCCTCGAAAGGAAAATACTTCACAATTTAGAAAATAACATTAAAAAACATTTCATGAACACAGCTCAAAATGTTGGAGTTTGCAGTTCCACTTGAATAAAATCCATTCGTTATTATTTTATTTTCCCCTTTCTAAAAGAAGAATGGATTTCCCTTCTTCTTCATCGCTATTACGCTCAAGCTTCATGTTGAAGCCTCATCCAGAATTAATGACCATTAATTTTAGCGGCAACTCTCACTGGAGTAAAAGGAAGACGAGAGGGCATTGTTTGCTTCGAGTCTCTGCAATCTCTTACCAGGACTTCATTGACTTTTCTCTCAATGAAACCAAACGATATACACCTTTGCTCCCTTCTCCCCTCCAGGTATATTGTTATCTGCTGTTTCCTTTTCAACATTTCTATGAGAATTTTGTGGTTTATTTATGGGTTTAGTGTTATTTTTACTATATATGTTCTTTGGCATTTCAGTTTTGAACTTTTTGTTGTTGAAATCTCTGGGAATTTAGGTTAGTGTTACTGATACAGTACTATACTGATATAGAGAATACTTTTGGCAATATATTCACAAATTGTTACTGCCCTTATTTCATCAAAGGATTGATCTTTTGCTTTTCCACTGGGAAAATTTCTTTCTATCTTGATTTTTATGGTTGGAATGGCCATTTTTGGTAGTAGAATTGGATCAGAAGAATTGTCTTTAAGAATGTGCCGTGTTTATACTATTCAGTATTCGAGTTAGTTTTGATTGAAAAGGAGAATAGTTGAAACATTTTAGGATCCACCGATCCAGTTTCGGAGCGTCATGACTTCTGCTACTTGCTACTTATACTTGAAATTCACTGTGTTTCTTTATTGATTAGAATGAGTGTGATATTTTTTACGAGGAACACATGAAGGGTACACCTCTTTAGTGTCTTTGTTTTCAAGCACGGTGCACTGGTTTGCTGTTATAGCTGGATTATCTCAAAATCCGACAATTAAGCTTGCTGAGTTCAACTTGTAGGGGTTTCTCATGGTAACACAGTGTTATTAGGTGTTAGGTTCAAACTAGATGCATAAAGGTTTTGGGCTAGCTGCCACTTCCATTGTTGTTTCTGATATTTGATGAGTATCACATCAATTGACATACTGATGCATAAAATTTTTGGATTGATATGAATTCATGATTTTATGTTGATTTTCCTGCTTTAATTGCAATATGGATATTATGACACTTTAGGAAAAATATAGTTCTATGATCGCATTGGATGGACAAACAAGGCTTGAGATGTTATCATTTGAGACTCCCAGAATCAGAGTACTTCGAAGTATGAGCATTATGGGTGAAGCTATGCAGGTATTATCATCAATTTTGTTGTCTTTAATATTCTGATTTGTTAAACCGACAATTTAATAAAGACACTCCTGGGTTTTAATATAGCTACTTGTTAATTTGTACTTCCCGAAATTTATTCTTGACAGCTTTCTCTTGATAATTGTAGTAAATTGTTCATATAACTCGAAGTCGACAAGCAGTGATCTGGCTCCAATTGAATATATATTATTCCTTTAGTTTTGATAAAAGCCTTATTCTTTAATCAAATGACTTGGGCTTTCCATGCTGTATTTATTGCATTCTTGATGTGTGGAGTCATTAGAATTGTCAAAATTCATATTTCAACAAAGAGTAATTGAAAGCAAGATTTAAACTCCAAAGACATGATATGGTACATTATTGCAGAATCATGTTAGTATACGGAATTTGTCGCAAAATAGACGTTCTCTGCTGTTAATTTGACCTAGTTAGTTCTATAGATTATTTTCGTTAGTAGAATTGTTTTTTTATATATTTTTTTTGGTAGACAGTACAGTTTATTCTTTTCTTAATACTAACTCTGTTCTGTCTTTCTCTTGGTAGGTATTAGATTTTGCTGCCTTTCCAAAACCAGAATTTGATCTACCCATATTCTGTGGGAACTTCTTCACTGCTGCTAATACGAACATAGTTGTGTTGTAAGTTTTGTTTTGTTTTGTTTTTTTGTTATTTGGTGAACTGAGCGTAGCCTTTTCTGTTTGTTTGTGCATATGTATCATTTATATTTCCCAGGTTCTATTTCTGTACATTGGCCGACTGCTGACATCAAATATTTGAAAAATAATTCACAAATCACAATGACCAATAAAATTTTCATTTTTGGATTGTGAGTAGCGATTACGAATCACCACTTTTGAACTTATCCTTGATTTAATCACTTATAGGGATCTGAATCCATTGCATGATGTCATTAGTCGAAGAGACTATAAGGAAAAGTACTACGACCACTTAATGCCTCTAGGTCTCAAGTATACCGAGGTAAATGAAATGATCGGAACTTGCACATTCTAGTAAGCCCCGATATTGATAATTGTTTATATCCTTTCTAAAATTCCTGCCATGATGACTGAACACAGATTTCATGCAGCTTTTACCTTGGGGAGGAAAGCTTACGAGTGAATCTATAAAGTTTTTCTCACCGATAGTGATATGGACCAAGTTCTCTTCAAGCAAATCTAAACATGAAATTCTGTATTCTGCATTTGTGGAATACTACAAGGTAGACTATTCTTCCGAGAAATGTGGCCATTTCCTGATGATATAAATTTGGAATGATAATTAGCATTAGCGATACCTTGTCTCTTGGAAACTGTGCTGATTTTTCATACTTCTCATGTTGTAGTAGGCATGGCTGGAGCTAATGGAGCAAGCTGTGGATGAAACTGATCCATCTCGAATTATGAGCAATCTTGAAGCACAACATAGATATCTAACATGGAGAGCTGAAAAGGTGATTATTACACATTTCCGCTTTCTCTTACAGTCTCGTTTTTATGAGCCTATCATCTCTGTTAGATTCAGATTGATTCTTGCAGAACATAGAAAATATTACATAAATTAAGATAATAATTTATCGTTGTTGCAATTGAGTTTTTAAAGTCTTTGAATTGGGAGAGAGCGCTGAAACTTTTGTTTTATTCCCATGATAACATGTAAACACATAACGATATACATGCCCCTCCTAACTCGTGCTTCTTTAATCAAAGGTTACATTGAAACCTTCGGATCTTTATGTGTTTATCTGAAAATAATACCCGTGATGGGAAGTTTGTTTGGATGAAAAATCCCATGTCCAAACCTCAGGCTTTACATTATCTCTTCGAAATTTCAGGGTAGAACGAGACTTAGCCTATGGATACAATTTAATTGGATCCACGAGTCAAATAAATGGGCACGAAATGGATCCCTAAAGATATAATATCAGTCTTTTGCACGTATTCGTTAGTTGCTTCACATCGAGTTTATGGCTAAACTTTTTTTTTTGATAGAAAATCTTAATCTTCATGGTTAAACTTGTCATGTATATATTGGGAAATACATAAAAGTTTGCAGGTATATTGATGTTTATTATTTTCTTGACTTTTTGGTATGTATGAATGCAGGATCCTGGCCATGGGCTTCTGAAAAGGTTGATTGGCGAGAAGCTTGCCAAGGTATTTTCATGAATCACGTGGTCTTAACGTCTCTCCGCTAATGTGACTTATAGTTCCCTACCTAACTAATGAATCGATGTATAATCCGCAGGATCTGTTGAGAAACTTCCTTTTTAGTGGGATTGATGAACTAGGAAGCAAAACATTCCTGGATTACTTCCCTGAGTACTGGAGTGATGATGGGACTATAAGCGAGAAACGAAGCATCATTGGAAAGGGTTTTGAAAACCGGCCCTGGGATAAAAACGGAGAGATTGTTGGTAATGACTGAGAAATTAACTCATCTTGTGGTTTCTTGTCAACAACTGGTTTTCCTGTTTCTCTACCATCTTTCTGTTTCTCAATATGCTTATGTAAACTTCACAGTCTGAGGAGTGTATGTTACGGTTGGATCTTTAAATTATGGTTAGATGACGTTTTAGACTCTCTTTTTTTTTTCTAAAGTTGCGTACTTAAAAAAATTGGCCCTGCAAATATGAATAATTGCCCCTCTCCGGCTCTCCCCACAGGACGTGCATCACTTCCGGTGCTGGATTAACGGAAAGAACTTGCACTTGCGGTCTCAGATAATATGTTTTTAATCATTAATATCTGATTGATCTATTAATTTTATGTACTGTATAAGTTTATCGTAGACGACTTTCTCAATTTAAATTTCTCTATACATAATATCAAGATTAAAACTTTTGGCTTTGTTTAAAAGATTACTGTCATTTCATTAGATCAACCATTCATTTCAGTGGATCAACAAATTGTTAATAGATAATGTGTTTTGAATTTTGTGAGCATTTAATTAAATTTTTTAATGGTTTAAATTATGTTTTAATAATATTTAAAAATTTTGAGGGCAGAACTCCCTCTGACCCATTACGTTGGCGCCAAAATATATATGTATATATCTTTCCCATTAAAAATTTAATAAATTCATTTTTAAAAAATTAGAATTATATTAATTTTATCATTTAATTTAAATATTGTTATCAAAAACCAAATATTCAAATTCAATTTAATAAATGATACCTTTAAAAATTCCCGACCCGTTCTCAACTCTCTTCCCACGTCCCCGCCGCCAAAGCTTCCACCCCCCGACCTCAACCCTCTGTTGCCTTCAAGTTTCCGACAGAGCAGGAAATTAATTAAGGTAATTTTTGAACACTAGACTTAAAAGAATAATTTATACTTGAATCACGAGATTTGAGTTATCTGCTCTCTGCTATATTTGATTTTCTGTTTTGGGTCCTACCGACTATTACTCTGTCTCATCTCATACTGTATCTCTGTTTACTTAGTTTAGTTATCGCCGCTATTTTCCGTTACATTGCTATTTGCGGTTGCGATCCGCTGCTATTCATGTGATATTTGTTAATCTTTAGCGGTGCATGGCGCCACTACCGCGAAAGAGCGCGACAGCGCTACACAATCGCTATTTTGAAGCCCGATTTAAAATAATAATAATGAAAGCTGACGAAAATTTTCTTCATTTATGACTCGAATGTGGTCTTTCATATTAATGGCAATGAACAAAAACACAGAATTCATCTAGCAAAACTTAGACTATATGGTTATATGTTTGTTTGATCGCTGAGAAAATTTAACAGCTGGAAATGAGTAGCAAATGAAAATGAATCTTCCTGATTTTGTTTTAGTTTCAATGATCGTGAAATATTGAGTAGTTCTGATATGAATTTATAATTTACATACGAGGGATGTTCTCTCACATAGGTCTTGGTTTTGGAGGAGGAGATGAAGGTCAAGTTGCTACGTATCCTTGTCATGAATTATAATATTTTCGTTTATTTTACCCCTTGAAAATTTTCCTTCTGTCAAATCTTTTCTTACTTGCATCTGTTGCAACTTAGATGTTATGTTTGCATTGGTTTGAACAGATTTTTCTTGGATTATTCCGGAAATTCTCTGGCCAAACTCAAGTCTAAGGTCATCAATGCCAAGTCTTTCAAGCAAAATGGTTCCCGTTATTTTTTATACTCGTCGTTCTTGTTAATATTGAGTAAAGGATATATTTCATTTTTTTTGGATACGTGTGTCCAACATGTATATGTTCAATTTTTTATAAGTTGTTTATGTATTTGAAGAATCCTTGGACTTGGAGTGTATCTTTATACTTACGTTTCAGAAATGTGTCAAACATGGTACTTCAAGAAAAATGAAGAGTCAGAACCATATATATTTTCACATTATAAATTTATAATAGCAACTTTTGTGATTTCTGTTTTTCTCGAGCATATCTTTGATTTTTGTCAAAAGCGTTTTTTCTTGTTCTTCATCATCCTTTTAGAATTTAGTTTATCATTCATGAAGAAGTAATACTTTTCCTTTTGATTGATTTCATATGTGAGTTAAATGGTACAAAGCCATGTTCCTCGGACTTGGGTGTAAGTGTTGGACTACCGCTTATGCACTATGCAGATATGCTATATTTTTACTTTTTTCCATGTATTGGGAGGATCCCAAACTATATTGGACATGGGTACCTCAAGAAAAATTAAGAGTCTGGACTTGTTTGTGGTCAATATGACATTTGCTTATTTTTTCCTACTCGAAGAAGCAGTTTTCTCTTGACCTATTTCTCTTCCTATATCTTTTGGCTATGAACAGAGTAAGCTTTCTTTACCACTTGCATCCAATGTAACCGCTGAATAAATTTGTGCTTTTCATTAAAATTTTCCTTTTTTTAATCATTAGAAACTCTAAGTATTTCCATTTTGATGACAGATGGCATGCTGTTGCTTCATGGACATGGGATGCCCAAGATGAAACATGTGGAATTTGTAGGATGGCCTTTGATGGTTGCTGTTCTGACTGTAAACTCCCTGGGGATGATTGCCCGTTGAGTAAGTCTTTGCTTAGAGTTGTCATATTTGGCAGTACTGTTATGATAGTTTCTCATATTGTGATTCGTTATTTAGTTCCTTAAAGGAGTTTCTAGCAGATGCTATGCCTTTTAATAGTTCTTACCTTTCAGTTCCTGAACACTATGTTACTCGGATTCACGAGTGTGCTGTTTATGGGTATGTGTTTGGCATGGTTATGGTCAAATTTTCTTAGTTTTTTCATGTATTTGGAAGATCCTAGGACATGTCTCCCATTCTATTTTTAAATTTCCTTTTTGACTACTAGCTGGACAATTGTGAGGACAATGCTACTGATTTTGCTAAATATCATTCATGTTGAAAGAAAAATCTTTTTGAAATCCCATTAATATACGATCTAAAAGTTTAGTTGTTTCTCTATGGTGATTTCATTGATATATACCTTTAGGAATTGCATCCATTTTGTTTTGATATTATAGCACTTTTTTTTATAGAATATTAATAGGCCTCATTAAAAATCCCCTTCATACCCTCCATGTTACAACAGTAACATGGACATTGGAAGGAGGAAAATAGTGCCTATGAATTTTATTAATCAGAACAATAATACACAACCAATACCTAATAACCTTATGTTACAACATAACACTGAAAACAAAACACCCTACAGTAATACAAACAACTGACAACAACTTAGGAACCGAAACACATAACCTATTAATCAACCTATACCATCTTTAGCTAGCTTATCCGCTTCCCAATTAGCAGCTCTCAGGATATGCCTTACAATAATATCTTGTGCTTCCATAAGAGAAGCTATATCTTTCACCAAGGACTGAAACATAGGGGTACAGATAGCCGAGTTTTTAATCCACTTCAATGCAGTACTTGAATCCGATTCTAAAATAATCCTCTGACTTGGGACAGATCCTATTTCTTCAATAAGAAGCAACCCTCTTTTGATAGCCAATAACTTTGCAAGTATAGGAGGACCACCCCCAACCTTCTCTGAAAACGAGCCAAGCAGCATTCCTCTACTATCCCTGATCAATCCACCTATACCTCCTTTATCCCATCCCTTTACCATCGCTCCATTTACATTAAGTTTTATGAACTCCTCAGGAGGAGGTACCCACCAAGATGAAGGAGAACAACCCTTTTTCTGTCTTCCCACTAAATATGCTAGTTTTATATCACACACTAAGGAGTCAAAAGGATTATGCACATCTTTAAATCTAGCCCCAAACCAAGAAGCAATTTTAAATCGAATAGGAAAAAACAACAATGCAATATCCACCTTCCCTTTCTGCACTTCCAAACCGACCACAACACCGCCCTTGGAATAAATTTCCAAATAATGGAACTCGGAACTAGGTCATCCCACAGAATGATGAAAGTAATCAAATTATTTGGAACCACAAAAGAAACATTTCAAGAATCTAGACCACAAACTCCATACCACCTCACAGTGCAAAAATAGATGAGAAACCGACTCAACAAACTTACCACACATCGGGCATAAGGGATCATCAATCCCTGCCACTCCTCTCTTCAACAGTTCCTCCTTAACCGCCACTCTCTGATGTGCAACTTGCCAAACAAATGTTTTCACATGGGGCGATGCTACCCCTACCCATACATGACTTTCCCAAGTACCATCATTCCCCTCATTACCAACCCGATAAAAAAAAATCTTGAAACATGATTTAGCTGAAAAACAGCCGTCTCCATTCCCTATCCATACCCAGCAATCTTCTTCTAGAGATGACAAAGTGGAACTATTCATCAAAGAAATAAACTGTAACCATTGTTCAACCTCCCAATCCACCAAATTCCTTCTCATTTGGGTATCCCACAACCAGTCAGTATTCACCCTGAACTCTGTAACTTTACCCCCTTTATTGTTCGAAAGAGCAAAAATCCTTGGGAACCGATCTTTAAGAGGAACCAATCCCAACCATTGATCATGCCAAAACTCCACTGATTCTCCTTTTCCAGTTCTCAAACACATATTTTTTCCTGAAACAATCTCCAAATTCATCACTAGAAAAGAAGTTTTTAACAACTCCTCTCCAAATCCATGAAGCATGTGCTGGCCAAGAATTCCCAATCATACTAGAGTTCGGATTCAAGTTATACACACAACACACAACTCTTTTCCACCACGAGCTCTTTTCTGAAGCAAAATTCCACACCCATTTCCCCAGAAGAGCCCTGTTCAAGAGGACCAAATTCAGAATCCCTAAACCCCCCAAACTCTTAGTCTTACACACCAAATTCCACTTCACCCAATGAATGTTCCTTTTTTCTGTCGAACCCCCCAAAGAAAGGATGCCATGATAGAGTTTAGTTTGTTTAACACACTTACTTGAATCCGAAAAATAGAAAGATAGTAAATGGGGAGAGAGCACAACACTAATTTGACCAAAACCGTTCTACCAGCCAAAGATAATGACTTAGCCTTTCATCCAGCCAGCTTGTTATAAAATCTCTAGACAACCGGCTCCCACAAGGCAACCGAATTCCTCTTGGTCCCCAACGGTAAACCTAAATACTCTGATGGAAAGGATCCCACTGAACAACCGATATCCTTAGCCCAAGAAGCTAACACCTCATCCTCAACATTAATTCCAAAGATTCTGCTCTTAGCTAGATTTAACTTCATTCCCGCCAACATTTCAAAAATTAATAGCACCCTTCTAACATTCAGCAAATCACGAATAGAGGCATTGCTAAAAATTATAAGATCGTCAGCAAATTGCAAATGCGATAACATGAAGTAACGTTCATGATTACCTAATTCGAAACCCGAAAACAGTCCCTTTTATCATCAAAAGCTATGTTGTTCTGATTCTTCATACCCGACATTCACACCGAAGTCTGAGTAACATGTATTAATCTCTAGCAATTAAAGTCCTTATCTTTGTTTTCATTTCTCTCATTAGTTTCTTATTTTATTCTAATTTGTATATGCTTTGATTGTTCAATTGCAGTTTGGGGAGCATGCAACCATGCTTTCCATCTTCATTGCATCCTGAAATGGGTGAATTCACAGACTTCTCAAGCACATTGCCCGATGTGCCGTCGGGAGTGGCAGTTCAAAGGATAACCAGCGAATACATTCATTGATGTTTGTGTGGTAAAACAAGTATTTAACTCTTCCCATTTTGATCTACATTGTACTCATAGATTTACCAAATTTGAGTTTTGCCTTTTGTTTTATGCTATCATGCTTCATGTGAAATGAGCCAACAGTTTGAGCATCAGCCTTAGTTGTCAAACTCTCTCCCTTTAGGGAAATGGTTGTTATTCAGACCCTTGCGGTGGGAAAAAAAAATCAGTCCGGACCAATCGGTTGAATTGAAAATCAATGGTTTGTCGAATCTGGTGATAGTAATCTTACTACTTTTTATATACTAGGCTTAAGGGTGTATAAAGCTCTCAAACTTTTGAAAAAAATTAATCGAGTCTCTGAACTTTTTTACCTAGTTAAACCCTCAAATTTAGAAATTAAATGATTGAATTGAGAAATTGAATCGATTAAATATTTTGATATTTTTTATTGTTAAGTTTTAATAATTTTTTCTAATATATTATTATCACGAGACACAACGTGGTTTTACCATACGGAATTTGCATATTTATTAAGAAAAGTTTTAAAAATTTACTAAATTTCTAATTGTTAAAAAAATTAATAATATTTCAAAAAAGACAATTAGATGTAAAAATGTTAGACATGACGATCAACAACGGTTAGAGTTAATTGATGAAATCTTGAAATATATGAACATAATTGTATGTAAAAAAAATTAACGAGACCCGATTCTTTAAAAAGAAAGTAGATGTAAAAAATATATATAAAAACTTAATTATTATTTCAAAAGTTTGAGAATTTCATATATCTTGAAACTTATATTATATACCTATGCAATTATATTTCTAATTATATGATTGAATCGAGAATCAACGACTTAAGTTAGTTTTGTGATTTAAAATTTTATTTTACTCAAATTGAATCAATATTCTCCTGTTATTGTTCATTCAAAATTAAAATATAACTTTTTTTTGGGTTAAAATTTAGTTTTTATACTTTTATAATTAAATTTGGGGTAAATTATGATAATAGTCCATTTTATTTTTGGTCTGACCGACTTTGGTCACCAATTTAAAAATTAAGGGTACATAGTCGCTAACGTTATCGATTCGTTCGGTTTTAGTCCTAATGTTACCGATTCATTCAATTTTAGTCTCTCAGTCGTTAACTCTCATTCGATTTTAGTCCCTAAGCTATGTCACATATTTGTTGCGGATGAACTTAAATCAGACGGACCGATAATGTTAGAGATTATTTACCCTTAATTTTTAAATTGGTGACCAAAGTCGGACATACACTAAACAAATGGGACTATTTGCATGGTTTACCCTTAAATTTAAATAAAAATACAATTTACTTAAATCATATTAAAACAAGTACAGTTTTGAGCTTGGAGCAATCGTCAACCACTCCACCTAAAACTGGACATCCGGAGATCCATCTATCTACTTTTGGGTGTCTCTTTCCTTAAAAAAAAAATGCCAAATTGATGGTCTTTCACCTCCTTGGGTTTGAAACCAAAACCATGTCTTGGAATCACTTTCTTGCAATCTCCACCGCCACTAGCAAACAAAACAGAGGCCTTTGTTTTGTCTTTGTTAGGGCATGTTTGGCTTCTTGTAACCTTTGGGAACATGTTAAAGGTAAAAGATTAAAAATCCTTAAAACAGACCTGGCTTTTGATTCCTATCCACCTAATGCCAGGACAAGAACAAGCATGGCCGGTCTAATGAGTTTTAATGCCCTGAGCGATATAATAATTTTATGCCCCTATCCGAAAAAAAATTGTTGTTCGCTACAAGGGTCAGCCATTACAAACCAATAGACTCAAAATAAACACTCAACCATTACAAACCAAAATGGAAATCCATTCAGATAAGTACACTGTAAGATGCAAACCTTATTGCAATTGCCATCAACCAAGTATGGAGAAGATATTCCATGAGAGAGGTCATAAGTAGACAAAACATCTTTCAATGTGCTGCTTATGTTTTAGCTCATAAAAAATTAGCTAAAAGCTACAAAAGACCCGGAAGAAAGCTTGACAAGTAATCCTATCGAGCCCTACCAAGCGCAACCAACATGGAACAATCAAATTGTCATTTAACAGGCAGTGAAATATGAATATAAGCAAGAACGCACATAAAAAGATCAAAACTTTTCAGCTTCTGATATAAAGAATGAAGCTTTATGAGGTTAATAAAATATTGGTGATATCTGGGAACTTCTCTTTAATGGCGGCTTTGATTCCCGATCCAATCGATTCGGGACCTGTGTAGTTCACAACGCATTCCCCGCCATCAATGGAAAATACTTCAACGCTCCCACCGTAATTCTTGATAGTTGGTCTCAGTATATCAAGATGACGATTCACTGCCTGTTTACTCGCGAATTCCAAACAAATTTCAATTTAGATGAATAATCTTTGTTTTGTTATTTTCGACGAATCTCAAGTTTGGTATAGAAAATTCACCTCGACGGTTGTTTCCTTCACTACATCGTCGTACACTTGCCGGATTTCCTTGACTGCATCCCCAAAATTTTCTTTCAAAACCCTTTCGATCCCCATTTTCATGGTAGTTGTTGAGCTAGGGCAGCTCTCACATGCTCCTAAAACTCGATCAACTCTACATTAGCCAAAAGCACATGGATAATTAAATCATGAAACGAAGATAAAAAAGAGTGACCTAGGAGTTTGAGAGAGACGTCGCCGTCTTCGACGGACAAAATGTAACACCCCAACCCGTACTTGACCCGGATACGAGTCTGAGGTGTCACATTGACTTTTCAAACTTTGACTCTTGATAAAATTCAAAGAATTTTTAAAACATCTCATTAAAGTAAAAGAGGTTTAGTTACATAAACTGACCACAATAACCAAAATCAATCAGAGCATATTTAATTCAACCAATTAGTACATGCCAACTATACTCAAATAAACCAAAAACATTTAAATCCTCTATTTTCTGATCTGAAATTTTGTAAGGGAGGTGCTGACCTGTCTTACTCTTCTTCTCTTCTTTTCTTGCTTCTGTACCCTACGTGTGAAACAATCACACGCTAAGTCGAAGTGTAACCCCCCAAACCGATGCGGGTAGCCCGATCCGATTCGAGAAGTCACATTAGGGCCACCGGAGCGACCCACCGTAAAAATAGCGGAAATTTTAAAACTTTTTATCAGAACATGTAAACTTATAAAATCATTTATCACTATTTAAAAATAAAACAGATTTCCAAACTCGTATATAAAACAAAATACAATTACATGCCCCCTAATCACAAGTACCATACTCTGCAACCACGCCGGAAGAACTCCCTTACTGAAGTCGATAGATGCACTGGTACAATTGTTTTAACCTGAAAAGGTGAGTAATAGAGTGAGCTTTGGAAAGCTCAGTAATACAGAACTACCAGATGATGCTACATGACATGTAGATAAATGGAAAGCCATATCATTTCCTTATTGAATCATATGTATACCGGCTTGCAGAATAATTTGGGGTTCCCTTAGAAGTTCATCGAGTAGAAGCCATGAATCTCAGTTCATAAGAAACCTTTCAAAGTATGACATTTTCAGGAGATCGAATAGGATGTCTAGTGTGTTCCAACAGTATAATAAAATCATAATAGGTACAAATCATAGTCCAGTAAATCTCACAATTTCGTAAAAGAGTTTAACTTTTGAAAATCATAGTTTAAACCCTTTTCTGGTACACCATCAGTAGTTCCCAAAATATTTTCCATATAGCTTACTTTATGCACATAGCAAAAAGAAAGCCGACTTAAGGATAGGCTATGAAGCTTGTATCCTTAAGCCCAAGTCAATAAGTCCATATAGCTTACCCTAAGCACACAGCAAAGGAAAGCCGACCTAATGAAACATCTTGGGGCCCTCAAGAGTCACATTAGGCCCATTTAGCTTGATCAGAGCTATTCCATCGTAATTCAATTCCAAAATTCAATTGCACCGTGACATAAATTCCATAAATCCAAAAACATGGTAATCATATACCATTTCAAAACAAAAATTAGATAGCAGCCATATTCCATAAATTGTCACATTAAATTGGTGCATCCATAAAACAATAACCAATGAATTCGGTGTACCACATATTAAAACCAATAAAACAGTTCAGTAATAAGTAGGGAACACACTAGAGAATCCCAGTATTTCCAGAGGCCATTGTAGTTATCATTTTGGATAACATGAAACTTATGAAATTTGATCGAATTCCTGGAACAAGGTCCTATGAGGAGAATCGATTACTAACCGATCTAGCCAGACATTTAATATTGATACATTAGAATCCCACTATATTTTCGTGTGCTTTAGGAAAACGTTCAGGAACCTTTATACATAATAATTCTAAATTCAGATTTACTGCGAGTGATTCCATTACCCAAACAATCAGGGGTATTCAGGAATATACTTTAAATTCATAGGATTTCAGCCCAATTGAACCAAATGAGATATTCAGAATCTTTTCCATCTGCGTTACTTGTTTTTTTTTTTTTCAAACATGACCGAAGTGATTTTAGATGAAATATAGAATCGAAGATTCAAGTCATTTACAATCTACGACTATCGATCATATTATCAAACAACTCGAGTTACACAACTCTCAAACTGATGCATGTCAACAAGTCAATTCATTATCCTTCCAGTGTATTCACTCTTTAATACCATAGTGCAGATCCATAGATCATCCCCATAATCATCACTGAATAAATCTTCCAACGGTCTTTATTTCATTTCTACGTTTCAACAATATCAGGAAATACTGACGTACTTGATCCATGGCTCATAACCCATAATGACAATTCATCATGTAAGTTCAACAGTGTTTCCAAACTCATCAAATCACCTATTTAATCCTTACTCATTGATGTTACTTAGTTCGTTTGGTAAGCAAGTCTATCCCGATTACTTTAAAGTTTTCCAGAATAATTCAGACGTTTCTGAATTTCAAATACACGTTGTACTACATTTCATTTCAATTTATTCATATAATAAAGTTATTATGGTATTCGTGGTTGATTTGACTAACGACTACCCACTTATTAGTACTGTATGCTCTCTAGAGTTGAGCTGCGCCAAGTACTTCCAGAATTATCATCGATCCAAATTTGAGCAGATGAACAAACATTCAAGTGATACTTATATCATTCAGGTAATGATATAGTACTAACGTTGGTTAATCACTTAAGTTGCGTTTCACAACTTTTACTGGTAGCACAACATCCATGTTTATTTGGATTTCTTAATTAATCCAAGACATTTACTTATTCTAGGTCATAAGGGCATTTTGGTCATTTTGGTGCTTAACATTTTTTTCTATTCATTTCAAAGCTTGAGTATATCCATTCATTCCTGAGCTTGGTGACATTCTTGAGTTATTTCCATTCCAGGGGTAATTTGGTCATTTTATAATTCTAGAATATTTCAATCATTTCCTTCCATCCGGTCTTATTATTTAATTCAATCTTATCATTTACTTCAGTCCTTTCGAACAATTATGTCAGCAGAATACCTCCAATAAATTACTCTTCAAGTATTTACTCCTTATTCGAATATTTTCGGGTCAAGTGTCTTCTCAGATTTTACAAACGGAATATTATAAATTTTTCTGTACAAAGACAGGATCTTAACAATTAAATTCGTACTTAATCGAGTTAAGTACAAATCCTCAAAGTACTCTCTCATTCAGGGTCAATTCAGACTATTTTATCTCTCAAGGGCATTTTCGTAATTTCTTAACCAAATAATTTCAATATTAGCACTTAACGAAAATAATTATAATTTAGAGATCCTATGATCAATTGCTTTCCCGAACATTCTTTGATTTTGAAATGATTCCTTCACAAACTCTCATAATTTTTCATCCAAGTATCTTTAACATTTAACCCTTGATGATATAAAATATAACTTACAAATCCAGAGCTGATTTCTTTATCACCAATCACAAACTTGTAATTTAATTCTAACAATTATCAATCTCTTATCTTAGTCATTCGATCCGTATTCAGTTACAGAATTTCTACCACATTCATATCGAGTGAATAAATTATTCAACTCCACAAAAGTGACCAACATTATCTTATTCATGCATTTACCCATATCAACATGTTCCATAAAGCATAAAGAGGTAGTAAAGTATTACCTCGATTTCCGTGCAATACCGATCGACCATAAAAATTCCATTCGAATGCCTTTGATCTTCAATTCAACTTCAAATAATTCCTCAGATAAATATCAACATAAATTATATCAGAAACGGAGCTTAATTGCAATAAACGGATCGAATCGGGTGATAAATTAGTCAAAAATAGCTTACCGGGTTCGAATTTGGCGAAACCGACTTCGGATTCGGATTCAAGACGTCGAAAGCATAAAGTATGACTTTTCGAAAATTTGGAATTTTCGGTCAAAATCAAAGTCAACGGGTTTGACCGGCAATATCGAGGCCTTCGGGTCCGAATTTTGGAAAACGGATTACGGAATCGGATTTGGAACGTCGAAAACTATCAAGATAGGTATACTCGGTCGAAGTCAAAGGTCGTTTAATGCCCGGTCAAAGCTGGTCACGTTTTGGTTAACTGTAGTCAACGTCAGTCAACGGTGGTCAACAGTAAACGGCTCGATCTAGGCGGCTCGGCTTGGCTCAGCTCAAACGGCTCGGCTCAGCTCAAACGGCTCGGCTCAAACGGCTCGGCTCAGCTCAAGCGGCTCGGCTCAAACGGCTCCTCAGGCTTCCAGACGAAGCCCATTCTCAGGTGGTGGCGCGTGCGGCGCGTGAACAGTAACCCCGTGTCGGAAAATTCCCGGAAAAATTCCTAAAAATTATTTTAAGCGATTTTGAGGCACTTACAAAGATCGGTTCACAATTTGAACGGCGGAGAGCTCGATTCCAAAACGTCGGAAACTTTGATCGCTTCACCTCCTCACGCGCCGCCGTCGACGGAGACCAAGGATGACACCGACAGACTCGGAACGATGCAAGGAACGCAATGGTGCGGGAGGTGTCGTAAACGGATTACCCGATCATCGTGAATAGATGAAAAACCAACTAAAATCGAGTTATTACCGACGATACTTTCGACTGAAATTAATGACGAACGACAATGATTCACGACGAAAGGTTTGAGGGGTTTTGTTCCTCGATTGACAACGAACACGATGGTGGTTTCGGTTCGTCGATCGGAGGTCGGACGGCGAGTAGATCGGAGTTGAAAAAGAGGTTGAGGGGAAGAGGAAAACTGGAATTTTCCAGAAAAATATGCGTCTGATGGGGTTTATAATATCTCAAAAAGAAAAATGGGTAAACCATAAGTTTAGCCACTGAATTTTCTGCACTTTATAACATGGTCTTCCAACTTTGAAATTTTGCAATTTAATCCTCATTTTCTTCCAAAATACCAATTAAATTTACCATATTATAATTTCTTAAAATTTAGCCCCTAAATTGGGGTGTTACAATTCTCCCCTCCTTAAAAGAATTTCGCCCTCGAAATTCATTAATGTCACATAATTGTAGAAATGAAACTTTATCAACTCTTCCAAATCTTCGAGTAGCTTTTTATAGAAATACGGATTCTCCACTAATCCTTAACCAGTTGAGTATACATTCTTATCAGAAATCTTCCTCATTTCAATAAAAGAATCTGAACGAAAATTTTCTCGAGTAATCAATCTCTTCAGAATTCTCCCTCAGTCCAAGTAAGTAATCAAAACAACTTTATCCTTGTGA